CCCCCACATCTGCAGGCTCAGGGTGGGTGATGGGGAACAGCCCTAAACCCCCTCATTTCTCCCTGCAGGGCAAGGCGGGCTCAGTGCTGGCAGTGGGGGTCACAGGCCATGGAGCCGAGCCAGGAGGGTGCCTGAAGCTTCCAGAAGGAGCGTGAGGGGGTGGGGGGTATGGAGCCCCCCAACAGCAGCGTGGCTGGGCCGGCACACTCGTGTTTTGGGGTGTTCAACGCCAGCGACGGCCGCGCCAACGCGCGGAACAGCATCGCCTCACCCTGGTTCTCCACGGCCTTCGGCCTCATCGGCCTCTGCTCCAACCTCTTCGCCCTCTGCGTCCTGCTCAGCTCCTCCCGCAAGCTCTCCAGCCACGCCCGCTCCTCCTTCCTCGTCTTCCTCTGCGGGCTGGTGGTCACGGACTTCATGGGGCTGCTGGTGACAGCCTCGGTCATCATCCCCTACCACTTCATCAAGTTCCCCTGGGCCGAGGTGGACCCCGACTGCCACCTCTGCAACTTCCTCGGCTTCTCCATGGTGTTCTTCGGGCAGTGCCCGCTGCTGCTGGGGGCCACCATGGCCGGGGAGCGGTTCCTGGGCATCAACCGCCCCTTCTCCCGCTCCACCAGCATCTCCAAGCGCCGTGCCTGGGCCATGGTGGGGCTGGTGTGGGGCTTCTCCTGCCTGCTGGGGCTGCTGCCGGTGCTGGGGCTGGGCCGGTACACCCTGCAGTTCCCCGGCTCCTGGTGCTTCCTCACCCTCCTGCCCGACACCGGCGACATCATCTTCTGCCTGCTCTTCGCTCTGCTGGGCATCCTGTCGGTGCTGCTCTCCTTCATCCTCAACACCATCAGCGTGGTCACGCTCTGCCGCGTCTACCACGACCGTGAGTCGGTGCAGCGGCGCCGCGACAGCGAGGTGGAGATGATGGTGCAGCTCGTGGGCATCATGATCATCGCAACCATCTGCTGGATGCCCCTCCTGGTGAGGCCCCTGACCTGATGCCCCCCCCCGTCACCGTTCCTCCATGTCCCTCCTGGGTCTCTTGGTGTCCCCCCTGCTCCTCCTTGTGGGGCCTCAGCCTTGGTGTGTGTCCCCCCTCCACCCTCCTCCATGTCCCTCCTGGGTCTTGGGGTGTCCCCCTGCTCTTCCCAGTGAGGTCCAAGGTCTCAGGGTGTCCCTGCCATGTTCCTGCTGGTGAGGCCCTAGGTCTGGGGGTGTCCCCTCGGTGAGCCCCCCCCGTGTCTCAGCATCCCCCTGTGCCACCTCTCTGCACTCCAGGTTGGCCCTTGGGTTATGGGCTCTGAGGCTCAGCACTGCCTGCGGGCAGAGCAGGTGCTCCCCGGTGCCCAAACCGGCCTGGGACCCCCCTCCAAGGGGCTCAGTGCCTGGACCCTCATCATTCCCCCCACCTCCACGCAGCTCACAGACCCCCCAGTGACGCTTTTCCCCTTTCCCTCCCCCAGATCTTCATCGTGCAGTCGGCGCTGCAGCGCCTGCCCGGCGGGCGGGCACAGGAGCTGCCCACGGACACGCAGGAGATGCTGCTCATCTACATCCGCATGGTCACCTGGAACCAGATCCTGGACCCCTGGGTGTACATCCTGTTCCGGCGGGCGGTGCTGCACCGCGTGTACCCCCGGCTGCGCCCCCGGCCCTCCATCGTGTCCCTCACCCCCTCCCTGCGCCGCAAACTCACCGCCGGCTCCGTCCTGCAGTAGCGACCCCGGGCCGGGGGGACACGGCCGGCCCCCCATCCCGCCCCCTCCGTGGGTCCCCATCACCCGCATCCAGGGGCTCTACATGCTTCCCCCCCGTCCCCTCCCCGAGCCCTGGCAGGGGGCACAGGGCCGCTCCCCCCTCCCCAATAAAGCACAGCTCGTGCAGCTCTCGGTGCTCGCTGGGGGTGAACGCCCGGGGGGGGACACTGGGGTGGGGGCTGACAACCACAGCAACAGCCCTTCTCCTCCAGCCTCTGCTTTAATGACCCACAGCCGCTGCCCACCGCGCTTTGGGGGTTCTCGGGGAGGTGGGTGGGTGGGCTGGGTGCCCTGCTGCCCCCCCAGCCCAGGGGACAGACCTGAGTGCACTCGGGAGGGTGCGGGGCACAGGATGGGGACCCCCACCAGCGCTGCCAGCCCCAGGTGGGCTGGGGACGGGGTGGGGACATGAGGAGGGCACTGCCCCCCCTCCAGCTACTCCTGCCCCCCCTTGGGGTGACAAACGGCCGCCCACACCTCGGCCACGAACTCCGGGGGGAAGGCAAACTCGCCCAGCACCGAGTCCAGCCCGCGGGCGAGTTGGGCCGCGCCGGGGCTGCCCTTGGCCGCCTCCACCATCGTCGAGGCTGGGGGAGAGAAGGGACAGATCAGCGGCCGGAGCTGGGGAAGGGGCAGGGGCTGGAACTAGGGAAGGACCTTTGCAGGAGCTGGGAAAGGGGCAGGGGCTGGGTTGGGGCTGAGCTGGGGCAGGGTCCAGGCCAGAGGGCGGGTCAAGGGCAGGTCCGAGTCAGGGTCCAGGCCCCCCCCCAGCTCACCCAGCTCGCTGTCGCGGATGCCCATGTAACTCTCCAGCAGATCGTCCACCCGGCGAGCAGCTTCTTCCTCGGAGGGGCTGGGCTGGGGGACCCGGGGGGTGAGTGCTGGGCACCCCCTGCTCCCACCGAGCCGTGCCGGGGGGCACTGCGGGCGTGGGCAGCAGAGGGGGCACCCAGGGGTGGGGGGATGCTCGTCCCCACCTCAGCACGGTGTGAGCAGCTGTGGGTCAGGGTGGGGGCTCAGGGCGGGTCTTACCCCCTCCTCCAGCACGGCCGGGCCCTGTGTCCGCAGCCGCAGCGTTTCCTTCCCAGTGGCCACTCTGCCTTCGCCCGGGGATTTGCTGCTCCGCGTCCGCTGCCCGATCATGTCTGTGCCCCAGCGCGGGGGGAGAGGTGGGGTGAGGGCCAAGGCAGGGCCTGGCATCCCCAGCCCATCTCTGCCACTCCTCAGCCCCCCGGGGGGCACTGCAGGGTGAGCTATGTGTGGGACAGGGGTGGTGTGGGGGGGACACCCAGGGGTACAGAGCAGGGATGTTCGTGGTTACGGGGTGTTCATGGATGCCCAGGACAGGGCACACAGAGGAATGGGAGTGCCCACAGGGAGTATGAGCAGGTGTGGGGACCCCCCGAAGAGTGCCTACATAGGTGCAATGGAGGGGTGCCCCGGGGTACACAAAGAGTAGGGGTGCAGGTTAGGGGTGGATCCTGCAAGGCACTTGGCCCCTGGGGAGGGGGCTGCAGGGCCACAGGGGCTGGGGACAATTCCAAGGTTTCCCTAGTCCCCAGCGCTGGAGCAGGGGGAGCCCCCGACTGACCGAAGGCCTTTTTGGGCTGGACCAGGCGGAGGGTGAAGGGCTGGGCCCGCGGCAGCTCCCGCAGCATCCGGGCGACTTCGTAGTGCCGGCAGCCCACGATGGTGTGGTCGTTGATGGCCTCGATGCTGTCCCCCACACACACCGTCTGCAGCCGGTTGATGATGCTCCCCTCCTTGATCCTCTGGGGGTGGGGGGACAGGGACACACAGCAACAAGGTGGCACAGTGGGACAGACAGACACATTCCCCATTCCACCCACCACACAAACACCTCTGTGATCCCATGGCCTTTAGTAGTTGGGTCAGGTAGGGAGGGTGACCCCAAATTTCCCCACGGGAGGGGAGACCCCCAGGACCAGGGTGGACCCAGAGGGGAGTCAGGGAGGAGCCTGGTCGCAGGGAGGGGGTGCAGCAGGGATGTCACCCACAGGGCCACAGCCCCCAGGGCTGCTCTGGGCCCAGCCCAGCCCCCCGGGGGGTTCACCTTGATGAAGGCGTAGCCAGCCCCGTTGTCCGTGATGGTGAGGCCAAGCGCGTCCTCTGTCTTGGTCACCTCCACCTCCTTGGTCTCGCCCCGGACGTGGGCAAAGATGAAATCCTCAAGGCCGATCTGCCCCCCCAGCAGCTTCTGCATGTCCACTTTGTGTGTGTTGAGCGTGCAGAAGAGGATCTGCCCCGGGGAACCCCATCAGCAGGGGTTGGCGATGGCCCAGCAGGGCAGGGGGTGTCGGTGTTGGGGCCCAGGGCAGGAATCAGCCATGGCAGCGTCCAGTCAGGGCACTGCTAGAGCAGCAGGGTCCAGAGACCCCCAGCCTGCCTGAGAACCCCACACTGCCCCATCCCCACGCACCTTCCCACAGTGCCAGGCAGCGGGAATCAGCCAGGGAACAGGCAGCACCGGCTCCCTGCCCACTTGCAGGGGGGAAACTGAGGCAAGACCCCCCCAGTCCCTCCCCAGAGGAGCCAATAGAGACCAGAGACTAAAGCATTCTTTTCCAGGACATTCTGGGGACTGCATTTACAAGCAGTCGGGGACTTGTGGGAGCACAGGCCACAGCCAGTGCTTCAGGGCTGGTGTCCCCCCTCGGGCACAAAGCCCCCTCCCCGGGTGCCGCAGCCCCTCACCTCGGTGGGCGAGATGTCGAAGACCTCGGCGATTTTGGCGTAGAGCTCCTTGACGTTGGTGAAGCCCTCGATGCGCCCCGTGGGGCTGCCGTGGGCCAGCTGCGTGTGGAACACCAGCCTGGGCCGGGCGCGGGGGGCCCGGGGGGCCGCGGGGGCCTCGGCGGGGGGAGGCTCGGGGGTCCCCGGCTCCTGCCCCACGCCGTTCTCCATGGGGCCCCCCTCGGGGGGCTGCCGGCCGTGCCTGCCCGCCCGCTGCATCCCGGCGGCACCGCTGAATTATGGATGGGGCTGGCTCCCTGCCGGCCGTAAGGTGATCCCCGCGCCCGGGAACCTGAGCTGGGGGGGCAGGTCACCCGCGGGGATCGGGTGAGCTCTGCCACGTAAGAAGGGCCCGGGACAGGCTGGAGGTGGGAGAGCAGAGCCGCTGCCATCACACCCTCCCTGGCTGGGCATTGACCTACTGCAGCACCTCTGGGAATAGATCCAGGATCAGATCCAGAGTCCCCTCCGAGCACGAACACACAGAGACCAGAGTGGTTTTCTCCCACGTTTATTTGCTCCCATCTCCAGCCCAAGCCCAGCGGCACCAGGAGATGGCAAACCAGAGATGCAGCTACAGAGCACAGGCCTGGCAGGTGAGGGGGGGGAAGCACCCCAGCCCCCCATTAGAGCCAGGGCCAGGCCCACATAGTGCTAAGTAAGAAAATAAGACACTCTCTAATTACACAGTCTGAGATTAGTGACAGGCAGCCCCGGGGACACCGACCCCGGCACAGCACGGCCAGATGTGGCTGCCAGCACAGTGGTCCCACAAGAGCAGGGGGGCTCAGGCAGGGGGTGGGGGGCAGGAGCTGAAAGCCAGTGCAGCACACCCAGGGTCCCCACAGCGGGAAGGGGTCAGTCCCAGCTCCCCTGGCACAGGGGTCCCCACCATGGGAGAGAGTCAGTCCCAGCTCCCCCAGGCTCCCTGTCATGGGAAGGGGTAAGTCCCAGCTCCCTCCAGCCCAGGGGTCCCCACTGCAGGAAGGGGTCTGCCCCAGCTCCCCTCCAGCAGGAGGCAGTTTATTGCCTTCAGGAGCTCTCTGTCTGGTCCCAAAGGTGGGGGGAAAGAGCAGCCAGGTGAGGTGACAGGGACAGTGGCCAAAGGCACCCATGGGGACGATTAAATAAAGGCAGAGGCAGGGGGAAGGAGCTGCCCCCAGCCCCGTTGTGGGATGGGACCAAGGGTTTCCCAGGCTGGTCTGGGGCTGGGAGGCAGTGCCAAGCTCCAGGGACTCCTGTTCACTTCACTGCCTCCCCAGGAACTCCTGGTCACCCCCTGCTGCCCCCCCAGCACCACAGCCCCAGGTCACCCTGGAAGAGTTGGGTTCACTCCAGGCCAGAACCCGCCAGCACCTCCCCATCAGGCTTTGGGGAGCCCCTGGTTGAGCAAGGCGGAGCTGGGGGCCTCATGGGAGAGTGGGGGGTGCTCACACCACCAGTGACCCCTCACCCAGCACCACCCTGGATGGGCTCTCAGCTCTGTCCCCACCTCTCCCCCAAAGCTCGAGGTCTCTGGAGCCGGGGCAGCCGCAGGGTCGGGCGCTCCGGGCTGGGGGGTCCCGGCTCACGCTGCAAGGTGCGAGGGGTGGGGGGGAAGCAGCCGGACCCCCGGCAGAGACTGTCCCTTGCGTGAGCTCCAAGGGACAGGGACAGGGTCCAGCCAGCCCCAGGCTCCAGAGGGACTGGTCCTCTCACAAGTGTTCACTGAGGAGGGAGGAAAGCACAGCTGAGAATCCCAGAATGGTTTGGGTTGGAAGGGACATTAAAGCTCATCTCGTTCCACCCCCTGCCATGGGCAGGGACAACTTCCACTAGCCCAGGTTGCTCCAAGCCCCATCCAGCCTAGCCTGGGACACTTCCAGGGATGGGGCAGCCACAGCTGCTCTGGGCAACCTGTGCTAGGGCCTCCCCACCCTCACAGGGAAAAATTCCTTCCCAATATCCCATCTCACCCTGCCCTCTGGCAGTGGGAAGCCATTCCCCTTGTCCTGTCCCTCCATCCCTTGTCCCCAGTCCCTCTCCAGCACTCCTGGAGCCCCTTTAGGCCCTGCAAGGGGCTCTCAGGTCTCCCTGGAGCCTTCTCTTCTCCAGGTGAACACCCCCAGCTCTCCCAGCTTGGCTCCAGAGCAGAGGGGCTCCAGCCCTTGGAGCATCTCCATGGCCTCCTCTGGACTCACTCTAGCAGCTCCATGTCTTTGAATGTACCCCCTGAACTCAGGGACGGGGCTTCCCTCTCCCACAGCACCCCCGAGCAGCTCTGAGCCCATTCCTGTCCAATCCCTCCCTGCTCACCTCCCATCACCCCCTGCCCCGTGTTCCCAGCCCTGTGCTCACCTGGCGATCCGGGACAGGATCTCCTTGACGCGCAGCACCAGCGGCTCGTGCTGCAGGGGGTTGCTCTCGATGGCACTGTGCAGTTTGGCCATGTAGAAGTCCAGGGTGCTCAGCGTGGGGGTCTCCCCGGTGCCTGGGAGGTGACAGCCTGGTGAGCAGGTCCCCACCCAGCCCTGACCATGTACTGGTGACTGGGGAAGGGACCTCAGCAGCCAGTGCCATCTCCTGTCGCGGGACAGAGCCTGCACCGGCACAAATCCTGGAGTATGTGGATTTGGGCCAATTTGGGGCACAGCTGTGAGTGTGGCTCCAGAGGATGGCTCCCAGCCTGCCCTGCCCCAGGACAGGGGAGCCAGCTGGCTGTCACATCCCTGGGCTCCCCAGGGAGTCCCTCGAGTCCTGTAGGATCCCAGCCCAGCATCAGATGGGCACTTGCCACCGCCCCGCTGCCCCACAGTGCCCCTTCACCTGGGATGGGGGACCCCACAGTGCCACTCAGCCTGAGCAATGTCCCCACAGCTGAGGAGGCCCTACGGTGCCCCTCTGCCCAGGCAGGGGTTCCAGCAGCCAGGGCAGGTCCCACGTTGCCCCACTGCACCGGCACCAAGCCCTGGCACCGGGGAGCCCCGTGGCGGCCCCCAACTCACCGGGGATGGGCAGGGAGGAGAAGCTGGCGGTCAGGGCCTGCCGCACCGACTGCAGCTGCTGCTGCAGGGCCAGGGTCTGCCGCTCCTCCTGCGCCAGCTCCTGCTCCAGCTTCTCCTTGGCGCAGTTCATGCTCTCCGTGTGCTTCTGCAGGATGGCGTTCTGCTCCTCGAACTCCGTGTTCATCTTGCGCAGGCGCCGCAGCTCAGCCTCCCGGGCTGCCAGGACAGCGCCGTGTCAGCGGGATGGACACCGACCATCCCTCAGCCCAATCCCTTCCCCAAGCCACAGCTCTTCCAAGAGGCTCAGTGCCACCAATGCCCAGGCTCCAGGCTGGTCCCTCCATCCAGCCTTTCCAGGGACCTTCCATAGCCTGCATCTGGCAGCCCCTCACCTTTGTTTTGGTCCAAGAACTCCTCAGTGAAGATGGGCACATCGAAGGTGGAGAAGGTGTCGCTGCACTCGCCAGCCTGAGGGATGAGAGGGAGGGCTCAGGCAGGGCTGAGGGCCCCAGAGGGGACCCCAACCCCTTGGGGCTGGGCAGATGGGGGGCACCAGGATGGGAGTGAGGGGCGGCCCTGCCCAGGCAGGTGGGGAGGGAGGATGGCTACACTCTGCCTCCTGCCACTCCAGGAACCTGGGATTCACATCCCTGAGCCTCCCTCTGCCCACCCACCCGTGCAGCCAGCCCAGCTCCCTGGACTGAGCCCAGCAGTGCCTTAGTTCCCCCACACAGGCAGACAAACTGGGGCTTTACCTTGTGCCCGTTGAGCAGGGTGTTCACAGCTGCAGAACCTGCATCCTCTGCAAGGTAGAAAGGGAGTCACCCCGGCAGCCAGACTCCATCCCCTAAGGCTCTGGCAGTGCCTGGCCAGATCCCAGCAGCCCCTGCTCTCACAACACACCTTTTTTGATCTTTTTCTCCTGGATCTTCTCCGTGCACATCTTGTAGGCCTCTGACTGCTGGTATTCCCGCAGCTCCTTCATGTACTGCTGCTTCTCCCGCTCCGCTTCATCCAGGTACCGCTGCGGTCACAGAGGGGCCTCAGCCCGGCCCAGCCCCAGGCTCCCAACCCCTCCCAGCCCAGCACTGGGACCAGCTCCAGCCCTGCAGGGAGCCAAGGGCTTTGGGCTGCAGGCTCTGGAGCTCCCCAGCCTGGGGGTCTCCCCCAGGGGGGCCATACCTGCTTCTCCGAGAGCTGCAGTTTGCTCCACTCCGCTCCCAGCATCTTGGTGATCTCCGGGAAGGGCAGGTCGGGGTGCTGGGTGCGGATCTGCTCGCGCCGCTCGTTCAGGAAGCGCACGTAGCCCGTCACGGGGGCTTTGGGGCCGTTGGGGAGGATCTTCTTCCTCTTCTTGCCCTTGGGCCAGCCCCTCTTCTTCACCGGCTGGCACCCAGGGGGAAGAGACAGAGGGGTCAGAGCACACAGTGCCACCGGGACACGGGAGCAGGGCCCAGAGCCACCCCAGCCCCCTGGCCCTCTGGGGAAGGTCTGGGAGATTCCTCGGCCCATTGGCCAGTGGAGGGACAGGGACAGCCCCACACCTCGAACCCTGTGGGCAGGGACATGGGCACCAGGGCTCACCTCCTCCTCGCCGTGTGGCTTCTCACCACCCACTCGTGCCGACTCTCCCTTCTCCTGCTTGATGGCCACCAGAAAGTTCCCATGCTGAGCCTTGCCCGTGGCGTGTCTGCAGCCAGAGAGCACCATCAGGGAGGGCTGGGACACCCCCGGGACCAACGGTGACACATCCCCTGGCACCACAGACTCGTGCCCACCAGATCCTCCCAAACTCCCAAACAGTCCCAAACCTGGCACTGGGCCTGGAGCCCCTGTTCCCGTAAGGGGAGGCCACGGTGGAGTGATGGGGCCGAGAAAGGCAGCCCTGGGCACACTAAAGCAGCCCTGAGGTCCAGTGGCAGCCCTGGGACCTGTCAGGGACATTTGGAAGAGGGATAGTGCTTCTCTTGGGGGCAGGTAAGAGCGATGCCATCGTGTCAGTGACAGCCCCTGCCTGTCACCTGGGCCCGGGACACACCTCGGTGGGGAGTCCCAAGGGGCAGGAACCTGCTGATCCTCCTCTGCAAGGGAGAAGGAGCTGCAGGGGTTTGGATCCTGGCTCCAGGAACACCACCTGGAAGCATCACCCACACCCAAGGAGCCCTGGAGGCAGAGGGTGAGGGCAGGGCGTTGGCCCAACCCGCTCCGGCCACAACCGCCCCAGCAGGTTCCTGCTGCCTGGGACACCACCCCAACACCCCGAGCAGCTCCAGCCCCGCTCCCCAGATCACTGCTGTGGCTTTAGGGATCTGCAGCTGCCTTGGGCAGAGCCTCCCTGTCCCGCCACAGCATCACCCCGGGGCCCCCCAGTCCCTCCTCCAGCCGGCTCCGTCCCACAGCCCCTGTCCACTCACACCCCAAGGCAGCTCCTGCTCTGCTGGAAATGTCCCCACCATGTTGGGGGAGCCACAAAGGGCTCCAAAGTGTCACCAATCAGTGCCTGCTTGGGTTCCACCCAGGTCCCCAGACCTGGGAACCAGCCCAGGGCCAAGCACAAGCCCCAGCAAGGACAACGTGTATCAGAAGACACAGCGATCCTGACCCGCTCAGGATCCACCCTGGAATTCCCCTTGTGTTTGCCATATCATGTACCTGGAGTAAACCCAAACTTCCCAGAGATCCCAACCCACTACTACCCACTTATCACCTGTCCAAGCCACCCTTGCAGTTAATTTAGGGGGGTCCCTTCCATGAGTCCCCAGGACACTGCCCATCACTGCACCAGTCCTCGTGGATACAGTGGGTGCCCAGCACAAGTTCCTCCCACTGGGATCAGAGCTCAGCCACTGCCCTGCACCCCACAAAACCCCACGGGAAGGTGTGAGACCACCTCTTCTCCCACCTTCTGGGGGAAAAGAACCCCCCAGGGCTGTGCAGGGACCTGCCAGCCTTGGGCTTTATGAGCTCCATCCCAATGATGCCCACAGCATCATCCAGCCCAGCCAGGAACACATCAACACCCTCCAAGGCCAGACAGATCCTTGCCCCCCTTTCCTGTGATCTGGATTCCTCTCGTGCTGAAGGATGTTTTAAAAAGTAAAGTTATTTCAGGCAAGATTCTTCCTCTGGAATCCACCTCCCAGGCACTTCTCCATCTGTGCCAGGAGGGTCAAGGCCAGCTCAGGACAGCACAAATCCCAGGGGAATTCAACCCACACTGGTCCTGATCTCCCAAGATGCTTAGAGTCACAGAATCCTGGAATCTCATGAGCTGGAAGGGACCCACAGGGATCATCCAGTCCAACTCCTGGCCCTGCACAGACACCCCAACAATCCCACCCTGTCCCTCAGAGCGTTGTCCCAACGCTCCTGGAGCTCTGGCAGCCTTGGGGCCGTGCCCACTGCCCTGGGGAGCCTGGGCAGTGCCCCAGCACCCTCTGGGGGAAGAACCTTTCCCTGAGATCCATCCCAACCCCCCTGGCACAGCTCCAGCCCTTCCCTGGCTCCTGTCCCTGGTCCCAGAGCAGAGCTCAGCGCCTGCCCCTCCGCCTCCCCTCGGGAGGAGCTGCAGCCCCCGAGGAGTCTCCCCTCAGTCTCCTCTGCTCCAGCTGAACCAGCCCAGTGCCCTCAGCTGCTCCTCAGACCCTTCCCCTCCAGACCCTTCTCCATCTCTGTGTCCCTCCTTTGGACACTCTCCAACAGCTTCAGATCCAACAGCTTCAGATCCTTCTGACATTGTGGCCTCCAAACAGCCCCCAGGACTCGAGGTGAGGCCGCCCCAGGTCAGGGCAGAGCAGGACAATCCCCTCCCCAGCACATGCAGATCACACCCAAGGTTTGCAAAGGGGGGGGTCTTCTGCCACTCTTTCCCCAGGGACACTGACACAGGACAGGGGGATGGGGTGACAGGAGGAGGGGGGAGCAGGGTGGCACTTACAGCACGGCGGCGGGCGGCTGCTTGGCGCTGTGGGCCATGGGTGGGGGTCTCACTGCACCCCTCGGTCAGCACCCTGCAGGACAGAAACCAGCTGGCACCGTGCCCCGGGGGCTGTGGGTGCTCCAGGGGGAAAAGATCAGCGATCCCTGACTAGTCTCCCCCCTGCTGAAGCCCCCTTCCCCTCCGCAGGGAAAACACAGGACTCCCCCCCCAAATGGCATCTCCTCCCCACCGCAGGCCCCCAAATGGCTCATCCCCCTAAGCCCCCTCTCCCCGCGATCCCCAGAGCCCCCCACAGGACCCCCTCTCGCCCCAGGGTCCCACCTCAGCCCCCCCAGAGGCTCCCCCACCCCCTCCCCGCGATCCTCCCTCTGGGCCCCCTCAGCCCCCTCGGGACCCCAACAGTTTCATCCCCACAACACCCCGCCTTCCTCAGTGCCCCCTCACCAGACGCCCCCCGCCTTCTCGGGGTCCCACCTCACTGCCCCCCGGGCTCTCCTCAGTAAGACCCCCACGCCCGTCGCGACCCCGGGTGCCTTCCCCGCCGGCCCCCCCGCAGTCCCCCGGGGGTCTGCCCCACACAAACCCCCTCTAG